AGAGTGTAGGCCTTCAAGAATAACTTAAATACTGCAGTTAGTAAGAAATAATTTAATAATCTCAAAACCTTTATATACCAAAACTAATAACAGAGTGAAGACTAATCGTATAATAGTTAGAGAGGTCAAAGTGTTTTCTAAAGTTTTGAAAAATGAGAACCACTTATATTATTAAATATTATTAAATATTATACAGTTAATAAGATTAAATGTTAGACTTTGTTGAAGACAAAAAAAGTCTCTAGAACATCTGATATAAGATACAAGATTTAATTAACTGAAATAACAGAGCTTAACATCAGGCGGGACCATTTTACATTGGCTTCTTGGAATAATAAAAGGACATTTGTTTTTAAGAGAGATGTTTTTGTAAAAAAGATGAAAAAAATGATCAATAATGCAATTGCTCAAGATTATGAAAAATATGGAAAATATTATCGACATAAACATATTACCATCATATGAATTTTAAATTAAAAAAATATACTTTAGGATGTAAAAATGTTTATGCAGCCACGGTCGCAAACCCGGCCCCGGTTTTACTTTATCAAATCCGGCCTCGGTCAAATATCAACCCCGATCGTTCACTACCATGTATGTCGGAAAAATTAATTTTTAACACACTAAAAGAATTAACTTCTTAACAATGTTTTCTAATTCATGTTTTTATATGGAAGAACACTTTAACAAACTGACAATTAAATTTTATTGATTAATTATTTAAAAAAAACTTTTTTTTTTTAATTACATAATATTAATTCAGTTATTAAAAATTTTTTAAAGTTTAGTGAATTATATATATATATAGATTAGCTTTTTATTATTTAAAAAGTATGTATTTTTTATGATAAATGTAAATCTTTTAAAACAATTTGTATGATTGATATTTATAAAAACAATTCTTTCAACAACAATTGCCTTTTTGATAAAATCTTATTAATAATCAACTGAACACAAACATACATCTATACACAGTGAATAAGGAGTGGATAAACACCGTAATAGAGTTTCAAACAAAACAATACATACAAATATATAAATTGAGTTATGGATGAACCAGCACCATGCCATATGAGTGGTCAGAAAGCGAGTGCTATCACACTTTATACCTGTGTTCTGTATTGACCATGAGGCCCATATAGAACACAAATACACAAATATATTGATTGATGGGTTAACAACTCAATGCAAATAAAGCATAGAACAAACAAACTTGTAAAAAAAAAAAAGCAGATAATTTAAAACAAATCCAATTGGTTGTTAGTGGCAAACCGAAAAACTTTTTATTTAATTTATGCAAACAAAAAATTTGATTTAAATATAATTTATTTATAAAATTTTTGGCTTCTTTTTTTTTAATTGTTTACCCATTCTGAATGTAATAATTTATTATTTCAAGATGGCCAAATAAGTCCCGAGTATTTCAAAAAATGAAACTAATTACCAAAAACAGTTTAAAATGGGGCTTAAAGTTATGATTATTAATGCAAAAACGGCTTTGGTAGAAAAATTAACATTACTATAGGTAATTATATATATATATAAATAAATATCTAAATATAATGTGGCATTATTGTTTAACATACTCATTTAGGTGTGGTATTGAAAATAGTAACTTCAATTTTCATAAAAAAATGGTTTTTCATTGATAATTTCCCCAAATAATTTCTGATTAGAAATGTCAAGTTACATTCATTGAAAACAAACACCAATACGTGCTTTTATAAAAAAATCAAGTTAAAAGACTTATCTATAGCCAAGCCCCAAGTTACTTTATGTTAAAAATTGCATCTTTTCTAAATAAAAATACGCTTGACGATTTGTTATAGCTGCATTACTTTTACCAGATTATAATAGTGGTTAAAATAATCTTTCCATACATACCAAATATGTCATACTTTTTGATGAAAAAACTTACTTATATTGTAATTGAAAAAACTTATATTTTTGTTTGGAAAAACGTGTAACAGGCCTTAGTTGCATTGAGCATAACTGTACCAGAGGTCAAGACAGAACACACAGATATATAATGTGAAATACGGATAAACCTGCATTGCCACAGAGGTTCAGCCAGAACACAAACACACAGATATATGTAAAGTGATTTAAAAAGTATAAATTAAAAGATCTACTTACTAAACATCATTACCGGTATTGTGAAGCATTTCCACTTCCTTTTCATAAATTATTTTTATTTTTTTAGTTTAACCATAAAAGTTTGCTTTCAAATAATTTGATACAATAAAAACTTGCTACATGTTTTTTTTTATAAGCATAACATATGGAGGCTCAGATTTGGAAAAAAAAAAGCATATGTAAGCATATTGCTGAGTCCCGATAAAGCATTTAAAAGATTTAAATTTTATTTAATTAAAAATTATAAATACATATATTTCTAAATTTAAACCTACAAAAACAACAAAAATCGAAGTTTATGTTTTGCAGTGCAATGACTTTATGAAGTAAAGAAGTCATTGTAATGCAAAATCTAAACCTCAATACTTGACCAGAAAAACATAAGGTTTAAGAGTTGCTCTGCAGTGTTTTATTTCTCTCTTTTTTTTTCTTTCTCTCTCTTAATGTGTAGTTTAATTAATACCATATTCCAAATGTTTATTTTATTTCTAAGTCTTATTTTCACATACTGTTAAAAATAGTAATAACAAAGTCAAAGAAGATAAAGAGAAAGCAGCCTACATTAACAGCGTTTGGTTTCACAAAAAATGTAATGCACAGAGAAGAAATGCAATCCGATTGCCATTAAAAGCTGTCGAAACTAGTGCTGAATGCGAACATTGCAAAAATTTATTCAAAAGCCAACAAAGACTAGCTTTTCATGTTAAAGTTATGCACAGAATTAGCAAACAAGATTGTAAACATTCACAATCACAAGTTCTTCAAAGTAACGAAGAACTTGTCACTCTAGCATTTAAAGATGTACTTGATAACATTGTCAACAAAGTTGTTAATGCCATAAAAAAAAGTGAAGAGGCTAGCAAATTAGCTGGTAAGAAACGCCACTAGTATACTTCTGCTTTTAAAGCAGAGGCAATTAATGCCTATGGTTATGAGGCAAATCAAGATACTATAGCAGAGTCGTTTGGTGTAACACAAAGTCAGATTTTGCGATGGCTAAAAAAAAAAGAAACTATTATTAAAGATGCCAAATCATCCTATAGCAAATTGTTTCTGAAGGGAAGGCGTTCAACAAATATCTTGAACTATAAGAGTTTTTTACAAAGAATTTTTACATGCCAGATTGAAAGGTCATATTGTTAACTTTTCCTGGCTTTGGAGTAAAGCTAGAAATATACAATTAAACATTGATCCAAATGTGGTAATAAAACATCATGTTATAGTTCAATTTTTACAAAAAAAGGAGTTAAAAATGAGATCGAAACAAAGAAACAAAAGAAAACATAAGAAAGAAATGGAACCATTATTACAGAAATGGCATGCGACATACAGAGAAAAGTGTATAAGAACAGTTTCTAAAGATCCCAGCTATGACAAAAAATGGGGACGGTATCAACCTGGACAAAGGCTCAACGTTGACCAGAGCCCACTTTCCTTTGTTGTTCATGGTAAAAAAACTTACGAGTATTCTTCCAGATGACATCTTTATGGGTTCGGACAAGAAGAAATGCGAAGTTCATATCTTTGATTTCATTGATAACATTTGTATATATTTATAGTATATATTTTTTATTTTTTATTATACTGTACAAAATTCAACTTTTTATTTTTCTTATAACTATTAACCTTTAAAAGTATTGATATAAGCATATTTTATTAAAAAGTATTGAAATAAGCATATTTTATTAGAAATATGTTTAAGTTTAAGCAAAAAAAAAAAAAAAAAACATGTATTACTTTGCAAAATACAAAATAAAGTTATAATTCACTTTGAATGTAATTATATTATATATTATAGTATATTAAATTGACGGACTTTAGTAAAATATAAAATATATTCTGCAGTTGTTAGTTTGAATACTAATCCTTATAAACCGCTGTTTCAGAGTCTGGCACATTTTTTTAATCTAGCAGAACTTTTTTTAATCATTTTTTTTAAACACTGTTAAATAAAAATATTGTTATTTTTCAATAGTTAGTTTTATTAGAATTTTGTAGAAATAAAAAGAAATTATTAATTTTAAAAATAATTTATTTTGTTTTAAATAAGTCTTTTTTTTTTATTTAGAGTTCTCTTCATTTTTCAATTGAATTTTTTTTTGTAATTATCTCCCATGAGTCAAGTTAAGCTTTTTTTGCGCATTTTTGAAATGTTCTTTAAACACATAAAAAGGCATGGTCAAGTTGTCTCAAAAAAATATTATATGTATGGTCAGGTATAGAGTAAAAATCCAGACAAGATTTTGCAAAATAAATCCAGAAAAAAACATTAATATAATTTTCTTATATTTGTCTTAATTTATCTTTAAGCTGATGGCTTTCTTGAGATTTTAAAACTTTTTTTTTTTGTATGGATAATGACTAAAGATTAAAAAAATAAACAATTGTAAAAAAAAAATTAAAATATGCAAAAAAAATTATTTACTGAAAAAAATATTCAAAATTCTGGATATATCTGGAAAAAAGAAAATCTAAGGATACAAGATTTTTATAGTTTTATACAGGATTTTATAGTTGTATACCAGATTGTTAGAAAAAAATTTTAATTTCAAGTCTTAAATTTTAATATTTTTTTTATATAATTTTTATAGTTTTTGAAGAATGTTAAAATTAATTCCCAAATAATAAGGTATAAGGAATAAATTGTAAATGAATTTGGTTGATAATAAAAATTAAGCATTAGACTGTAAACAATTAAAAAATATATTAGATATACAAAATATTTATGCTCATTATATAAGATTAAAAAAATTAATATACCACTTCAACTTGTATTATAAATAAATTACTAATATAATAGTTACTTATGACTGAAACTGAGTTTGGTAACCTTTTAAAACATCTCACACATACAGTACAATTACCTATTATGTTAACAGTAACAGTGTAGCCAGCTACTGAATGGCCATTCTTTTGTTTCATAATATAACTGAAACTTGTGTTGTGTTCTTCAGCATTCACTTTTCGAATTAGCAAACTGCCATTTTTTGTGTATGAATCTTTATGAAGAACTTCCCACTGCTGAGATTTTTTTTTTTTTTGCCAAAATATTTCGGCAATTGGTGGAATACTCTCATAAACTTCCAGAGACGGTAAAAACAAATAACCTCCATTTATGATATTTTTATGAAAATTTTTCATATCACGATAAACAATCACTGCAAAAAGTAAAAAAAAAAAATTAACATCATATAAATAAACAAAAATATATAATTATAATAGTACTTTACTTATTATAAAAACTTGTAATAAGTAAAGTACTATAGAGTCAGTGATGTCTCAAAAAGATTAATTTTTCTATTTTTTTCTGGTCCCTGATGTCCTGAAGCTCTAAAAATGTTGGTTGATTTATGATCAACTATAAGAAAAAATTCATGAGGTTTTTTGACTTGGAACTTATTGTTTTAAACTCGAAATCTGTTTAAAAAAAAAAAAATTTTGTTCCCCAAAAAAATGTGATAAATGCAACTTTTTGGGGGAATGTGATGTATGTACAAAGCAAAAGAAAATACTTGAAAGAAAAATGTCGAATTGCTACCAATAAAAAAAAAAACATATTGTTGATGAAACTGTAATGGGTCAAATCATTATATTTTAACCAATGGCCTGTGGGGCACCATCTCTGATTTCCCTGATTTTAACATATCATTATCTACATTATGTAGATAGGTTAAATTTGAAATTTCAGACTTCCAAGTGCAACAGTTCAGTAAATATAGCTCTATAAACACTGCGCAGTGGCCCCCCTCGATTTAAGAATTGTAAAAACAGACTACTTTAAAGCCTCATAACTTTTTTCTAACTTTCAACAAGTGTCTCATTTTTTCTAGAAGTGTTTTCTGGGTAGTTCTGTATTAAAAATACTGGTTTTTGTTGACTTGTATCATATTAGAAAAAAATTATAGCCTCCTCAACATCGAAAAAAGTTTGAAAAATGCTAAAAAAGGCCAAAATGAAATTAACTGTAGTACTTTTCTATTCTGCAACAAGTCCCTACAGTTTTGTTTTCTGATTAGCTAATCTTATCTACAACAAACAGGCAAAAAATAAGCCGCTTGTTGCAGTTTAGAACTGAAATACATCTAAAAATGTATTGTCCATTTGCCAAAAAAGTCCCATTTTCAGCCATTTTGAAATGCTTGTAATTTTTTCTAACACTTTGTATTGATCTAAGCTTAACAGCAATAAAGACCATAAGATCCAAATATCTGAAAATGCAATCATTTTTTACTTGTTGCATTCACACCAAAAATGGCAGCATTTTAAAATAGCCCTACTTTTTAATTATCTAGGGTTGAATGCATTATTAGAAACCAGTGCCCCCCCCCCAACCTGCCTAATAGCATATTCAATGGGTGCAACTGATTATAAATTGTTTCTTAAAAAAATATAAGATATTGTTGATTGCCCCCATGCTGATCTTTTTTTTAACCTGGGTAGGGGCACAAATAAAGGGGCAATAATTAGTTAAAACCCAGTATTATTGTTAAATAGTGATACTTTAAACATTTTTTAAGTTAATCTTTTAATTCAATTTACATTTTGTTTCTGTTATTTAAAATGCTAAAATTCAAATACTGAATAAGTGCAATCAGTGGCAGTGGAAATGAATGAGTGAATGCATGAATGACTATGTATAATAGAACAATACAAATGAAACTATTATGATAAGGATTGCATCATTTTAATTATGATTTTTTAGAAAATGTAAATGAGCTGTAAATTAGAAATATAGATCAGTATTCAGATTATTTATTTAAAAAATATAATGATTTTGAATAATGTACCATTATGTATATATATTATATATATATATATATATTATATATATATATATATATATATATATATATATATATATATATATATATATATATATATATATATATATATATATATATATATATATATATATATATATATATATATATATATATATATATATATTATATATATATATATATATATATATATATATATATTATATATATATATATATATATTATATATTATTATATATATTATATATATATATATATATATATAAATATATATATATATTATATATTATATATATATATTAAATATATACATAATATATATATATATATATTAATATATATATTATACTATATATAT